ACATGGCGTCGCCTCCCTCCGCGCGGGGGATCTCTCGCCTCCTGCGTGTTCTCCTCCTGCTGTTTTTGCTTCAGGTAAGTAACTGCGTGAAGTCCAGACGCCCTTTGTGCTACACTTCCAAGGCAACTCAAGGTAATCTCGGCCGCTCCCACCTGTTGATTCGCATCCAGTTGCATATCTCCCTCAGTCCCTCATCCCCCTTGCTCGCTCACCTGGTGACCCTCCCTCCCTCTCTTCACCCCCTCCCCCTCCCCTCCCCCCCTCACTTCCTCTCCTGCTCCCCAGCTGCTCGCTCACCTGGTGAACCCCCCCTCCCCCTCCTCCTTATTTTAACTCGCTTCCCCACCCCCTCTCCCCTTTCCTCCCCCTATCCCCCGTTTTTTTTCTCCTTTTTTTGACAAGGTGGCCACAACACCAGGCCTGGTACTGGCTTTATGGCCCGAGGGAGGTATGGCCGGCATGTGGATTAGGGGGGCTGTGTGTGTGTGTCCGAGTCGAGAGGGATTTAGCACAGCGGAACGTCCAAGCGGCGAGGGTCACTCCTCATTAAGCCCCGATGGATGTGGCTGCTTTGATGTGGTTGCGGATGATGGCGTGATGAGGCCTGATGATTTTCCACGTTTGGGTGGCATAGCGCGAGCCATTGCGAGAAGAGGTGGGATATATGTATACTGAAGTGTAAGGAGATTATGTTGCTTTCAGATGCTTGTTATAGTAGAGAGAAAAGGTGTTTGGCCTGGCCTGTCAGAATGCTGGTGGTCTTCGTCGGACTTCGTTGGCATTGCGTCCATTATGGTTTAACACGTCGGCATGTGTGTGCGTCATGCATTGTGTGTGTGTGTGTGTGTGTGTGTGTGTGTGTGTGTGTGTGTGTGTGTGTGTGTGTGTGTGTGTGTGTGTGTGTGTGTGTGTGTGTGTAAAGTATCTCCACATGACAAAAGGCGGCAACGTAAACTGTGGCTTATCCTATTAGCGTGATTGTAGCAGGTGCAGTCTATGAGGTTTGGTGGAGGAACATTCTACGTAAAAAAATGAAAGGCGTAACAAATCGTCTTTTGAAAGATAAACAGACTATTATCCGATGGAATGATAAGATCAAAGATACAGTCTGTAACGGATTCAAGCGTAATCACCCATCTGTATTCCAGCAAGGGTGCAGTGTGCAGTAAAATATACCGATGCTGCAGGGGTATAGGGACCCTTCGCCCGTGGCATTGCAAGGAGGGAGTGAGGCGGCACTGAGTGGCCTGACACCCAGAGGCAGCGCGTCGCTTTGATATAGACAGGGGTGAGGGCAGGGAAGGGGGGGAGTGGGTAGGGAGGAGAAGAGGATGGAGATGGATAGGGAGGGAGGGGAGAAAGGAGGAGGAGGAGAGGAAGGGGGTGGGTAGGGGTGGGAGGGTAAGGGAGGAGAGGAGAAGAGGGAACGGAGAGGAGGGAAGGGGTTATGGAGGGAAGAAAATCTTGAGAAGAGGGAAGTGGATAGGGAGGAGAGGAGGAGTAATAAGGAAGGGTAAGGGAGGGGAGGGAGAGGAGAGGAGAGAAGAGGAGGGGAGGGGAGGGAAGGGGAGGGGAGGGGAGGGGAGGGAAGGAGTGGACGCCGCCACCGCATACGTGCCTGAATGAAGAGACGGTCCTTGACTTCTTACAGTCTCTTTCTCTCTTTCGTTCTCTTTCTTCCCTTTTTTATCGAGTACTTTTCTCGTAAGTCATTTTGTTGGTTGATTTTTTTTTTTTTTTGAGGACTGGAGACAGCTTTGCCCTTTGGTAAAAAACTTTTAGTATTTTACGTTGCATATATATATCGATTCGTATGTACGTGTAGGTGTGATATGTAGATAATGCATACATACACTTATATGCATATATGAAAGTACAAGAAGAGAATGTACATATTTATATATACTGTACAAGGGCATTATTTACAATATACACACATAGCTTTGAAAGTCGCATTCAAACTGGACACCAAACGGCTTGCTTTGCGAAAACCATTGTTGACAGATTAGCATCTTCGGCATGTTTTTACGATCTTTAAACTATTTTTCTTTGTGTTTTTAGAGGATGAGCAATTTTCAAAATATGACGCCGTTAGTCTAGTTAACCTTATGAAGCTCATTCTGCCCTTATGATTATTCTTGAATTATAAATGGCCATTATTTTCTCACTGCTAAAAAAGATATATATATTTTAAAGTGATGTCTTTATTTTGCAAGTCGGCAGTCTGTCTTCGCTAACTTGAATTATCATGATTGCGTGCGAGGGAATTTAAAGAGCTTTGTGAATTTGCGGATAGACAGAAAGACAGGCTAGTTAGCCCACGAGAAAAATAAACAGAAAAGCTCATCAAAAAGCGAGACGGCCATTACGGAATCGTCAGGGGTTCGGAACGCAAAACTTTAAATGGAGAAATTTTTATCGTCGCGAGCTAACTGCTCGTATAGTGTTAGTTAAGTGATACGTTTTAGGATCGGCATTTTCATTCGTATTTTATTGGCCAGTAAACGAGGAACAGGGATTGTAAACATGTGTATGTGTTGCAAAGCCTTTTACGCACGTGCTCCCTAAAGATCTCGGGAGCGCAATTATGACTAAATATGGAGAGACACTGAGTTGCAGAAAGATTGTCGTCGTTATCGTGTCTAATGTGTTTATTTTCTCGGTTAGAATAATTTATTCAAATTCGAATCTGAACATGGTGCGTTCTGGATTTTCCGAATTTTTTAAATACAATTATTTATGTCATAACTTTCTAGCTCCGTCTTTTTCTTTCCCTTTCTCCAGTTCTAACCTGATGGCGTTTTTTTTCTTTTTCTTTTCTTTTTGTTCTTCTTTTCTTTTATATTCTTTACATAATAAGAAAAAAAATCTCGAAATTTCAGTAGAATTATGAAGGGAGTGATTCAGCGGTTTTCCTTCCTTTTGAAACGAACCAAAGGATTTCTTTCGAATTATCCACTTAAATCCTTATCCATTCCACTCCAGGGGCTTATCATCCAGCTGTTTACCTTCAGTCCGTTCATTTCCCTTCATTACTTTATTTTCTTTCCTCTGTTTTCCTTTGTCCGGTCGTACGATTTTTTTTTTCTGTCTCTGTTTCCGTCTGTTTTTTGTCTCGTCTGCTCTCTCTTTCTATCTCATATTTCTCTCTCTCTCTCTCTCTCATCTCTCTCTCTCTCTCTCTCTCTCTCTCTCTCTCTCTCTCTCTCTCTCTCTCTCTCTCTCTCTCTCTCTCTCTCTCTCTCTCTCTCCCCCCCCCCCCCCCCCCCCCCTCTCTCTCTCTCTCTCCTCTCCTCTCTCTCTCTCTCTCTCTCTCTCTCTCTCTCTCTCTCTCTCTCTCTCTCTCTCTCTCTCTCTCTTCTCTCTCTCTCTCTCTCTCTCTCTCTCTCTCTCTCTCTCTCTCTCTCTCTCTCTCTCTCTCTCTCTCTCTCTCTCTCTCTCTCTCTCTCTCTCTTCCTTCCTTCCCTTCCCTCCCTTCCCTTCCTTCCGTCCTTCCATTGTTTATTCGAATTTCGTGTTATTAGCGTTTCTTATTCCTTTGCATTCGTTTAAGTTCACAATGAGGGAATTCCCGTTTTCTTTGAGGTCGGTTCCTTTTTCCTTGCAATTATTTATGTCACTTTATCTCGTCTCTTTATTTATGTCATATTTCTCTCGTCTTTATTCTCCTCTCATATTTCATCCTCTTGGCTATTTTATCTTAGTTCTCGCTCTCCCTCTCATTCATGGGTTTTCTCTGCATTCCCTTTCTCTCATTTTAATTGCTGCCTTGTTTTTTTTGTTTCTTCGTCTGTCTCTTCTCTTATCTCTTTCTCTTTCTCTGTCTCTCTCTCTCTCTCTCTCTCTCTCTCTCTCTCTCTCTCTCTCTCTCTCTCTCTCTCTCTCTCTCTCTCTCTCTCTCTCTCTCCCTCTCCCTCTCCCTCTCCCTCCCTCCTCTCCTCCCTCCCTCCCTCCCTCCCTCTCTTCTCTCTTCTCTCTTCTCTCTTCTCTCTCTCTCTCTCTCTCTCTCTCTCTTCTCTCTCTCTCTCTCTCTCTCTCTCTCTCTCTCTCTCTCTCTCTCTCTCTCTCTCTCTCTCTCTCTCTCTCTCTCTCTCTCTCTCTCTCTCTCTCTCTCTCTCTCTCTCTCTCTCTCTCTCTCTCTTCCCCTTACTTTTTGCAGGAACCGAGGAATTAGCTTGGCAAAATAAACATTGATGACAAGATTTATGATAATTTGCCGACAAAGATCTAAAGCAAATATTGTAAGAAAAAATGAAGAATGAAAGTAAATAACATGCATTAAATATGATGAATGATAAATAAATGGAGAGAGAGAAAAACACGCCCACACAGACACGAAGGAAAGTTAAGAGAGAAAGTAGGAAGGGCAGTTAAGTGTGGCAAACATACGAGCAAATAAGAGAGAGAGAGAGAGAGAGAGAGACAAACAGACAGACAGACAGACAGACAGACAGACAAACAGACAAACAGACAGACAGACAGACAGAGACAGACAGGCAGGCAAGGAGGCAGGCAGGTAGGCAGGCAGACAGACAGACAGACAGACAGACAGACAGACAGACAGACAGACAGACAGATGGAAGTAAACGAGAAAAGAGAAGAGAACTATACATTCCCAAAGAACTGGAGAAGCCACGCACATGTTCTTCCAATCGTAAAGCCTCAAGCGTATATATATATCAGCTTAAGTGTTATCTTAAGTGGAACAGCACTTTGTCAATGAGATCAGCTCGTGCGTTGCGATTGCCTCGCCAAGTCTCCGGGGGGATTCTCTTGCGCGAACGGGATGTTTGCGTTCGCGTGAATCCGTGACGACGAGGTGGCGCTTTTGGCTTTTTATGGCCTTACTTCTAATTTACTAAAGGCACGATACTATGACAGTTGTCGGGTTTATATTGTTCTGTCGGTTTTTATTGTATTTCATTTGTTTATATTTTAATTGTATATGTAATTTATGTTTATGTTTTAATTGTATATGTAATTTATGTTTATGTTTTAATTGCATATGTAATTTATGTTTATATTTTATCTTTATATATATATTTTGTGTTTATATTTTACTTATATATGTATT